TCCTTGGAAAGCGCCCAGGAACCACTTGCAAATGAAATCCAACTTTGAATTTATTGCTCCTGCAACCCTGGAAATTTAAGCTACAGAGGTGACGTGACATTTTGTTTCGCCAATGCTAATCTAATACCTTTTTAAAGGTGCACACGTCTCACCCTGTTGGCTCCCAACCCTGAATTCCCAAGCTCCGCTGAGCTCCAGGATAAATGAGCCGAGCGTGCCCCGCAGGCGAGATCCCTCGCTGTAATCTTTATTCCAAACACAGCCTTTGGAAGCGCTGCCAAGAATCACCCTGAGGTTTGCTCTTAGGATGGCAATTTGCATCTCAACATTTTGCTGCAGAGCCTTCCCCACTGTCCCCGCTATTATTTTAATGCTGGGCCGTGGGCGGCCCCCTGAGCGGAGCACACTAAAAATATTCCTGCCTTTCCTCGCCGGCTCCACACATGACCACCGGCAAAACCGGGAGTGGTGGCACCCACCCGCCTCTCCAGGAGCTCCAAGGAGCTCAAAAAGCGTGGCAAGAAGCAGAAAATGCACGGATGGAGGAAGGAGGAAGGCAGAAGGTGAAGGAGGAAGGTCGCGGGAAGAGCCAGTTTTTACAGCCAAGGAAAGCGGGTGGTTTATCCGAGCATGAGATTTTGGGAAAACACATTAAGAGGTAATAAAGGTGAGGGAGGCATCGCTTGGGATGTGAATTCAAGACGCTGCTGAATTAACGATGGTCTCTTCACAGAGAGAGGGATCAGCCCTTGGGATGGGCTGCCCAGGAAGAGGGTTGAGTCCCCATCCCTGGGGATGCTGAAGCAGAGCCTGGGTGTGGCACTCAGGGCCAAGGTGGGGTTGGGTCACAGGCTGAGCTGGATGATCTCAGAGGTCTTTTCCAACCTCATTGATTCTGTGATTCCGTGAGGAATCTCGTGACACAAGGTGAACACCAGCACAGCCTGATTCACAGCCCCAGAAGGGAGATCCCGATCCCACCAGCATCCCACCACGTTGACAACACAGCGTGGGAAAAAACATGGATTGCAGGTTTTCCTACGCCCTCCTCCCCCCTCGCCCAGTAAACCCCCAGTCTCAGAGGTTGTAATTATTTTTGGCAAGGTGTGAACAGGTCTGGGAAATGAAGCTGGGAAGTGGAGCTATTTATGAGATGCCGCGTGGGGAGACGGCATTGGAGCAACCAAATCAGCAAGTGCAAGGTCACTCTTGTCTGCTGAGGAACTACAAAGTGATCCAGGCAGCCAAAATAACCAGCCTCAGTTCGCCCAGGATGGCAAGTTAATGGAAATGGAGTGTGGTGAACCACCAGAGGATATTACTTCAGTCAACTACAAGGGCTTTATCACGGTGGGCTGGTGGGCTTTGAGATAAGGTCCATCGAGATAACACCCACTCATGACAACTATTTGCCTCTCTGGGGTGTGGGAGATGAGCAAGAAGGACATCAGGTCCATAAGTCTCCCTCCACCAAAGCTGTTGTTAGAGTGGGTTAGCCAAGGGACTCCCATCCCTGGAAGTGTTGCAGGCCAGTCTGGATAGGGCTTTGAGCAACCTGGTCTAGTGGAAAGTGTCCCTGCCCATGGCAGGGGGTTGGAATGAGATGGTCTGAAAGGTCCCTTGCAACCAAAACCATTCTGTGACTTGCAAGTAAAAGATCAGTGGAGACTACTCATCACCTTACCCCCAAAAACCACCCCTTGCTTCCAAGGAATTAGATTTTTGCCCCAGCCCAGGAAGAAGCAAAGATTTTGAAAAGCAACTTCCATCCTGCTGGCAGAGCAAAGCAGCAAAGGCCAAACCCTCCCAGCAGGAGGGTCTTGCAGCCTGATGGGGCTGAAGAAGCCAGAAGCACCTCAAGGCCACGAAGGAACCACCAAGGAAAACACAAAAGCTCTTTCTGGTCTTAGCAGGAGCCAAAGGAAGAGGGATGGTTGAAGCCAGGGGGCAGGAGGACCTCCAGGCTGCTTTCTGCACACTCTTTTTATATTCTGTGTCCAAATGCCTCAGAAACAGGAGGAGGACACACAGCTCTGCTTCCAAGTATGAGATTATATGAAATTCTAATTATTTTTTAAAAGGATGACAAGCACAGTGCAGTAGGAAAGGAACTGGCAAAGGAGAGAAGAGCAAGCCTGCAGACCTCGGAGCCTGTGGGACATCTCTGTATATGAAAGGAAACAAAGGTACATCTGAATAATCTCCAAGGAAAGCATAAAAAGAGAAAAAAAAAGAAAAATAAAAAGCAGACCTTGGTTTCCATGCACAAGGAAGAGGATCCTGGCAATTATACTGCAAGTATTTCCATGAGGAGAAATGAAAAACAACACTGAATTAGTCTCTTCCATTGCCCCATGTTTGGGTCAAAGAAGAAGAAACCAGAGAAGTTGTGGCTGCTCCATCCCTGGAAGTGTCCAAGGCCAGGCTGGATGGTGCCCTGAGCAACCTGGGATAGTGGAAGGTGTCCCTGCCCATGGCAGGGGGGTGGGACGGGATGATCTCTCTACCTAAAGATCTCTCTACCAAACCAAAACATTCTAGGATTCTATGAAACCCATCTGCTCGAGGCTCTAAAGATTTTCATCAGGCAAATATCTGTAGTAAGGCTGTCAGTTTGCTTTTTCGGCCTCAAAGGCATCCTGGTTTACTCCAGTATCACAGTCCTGTTCACACCACATGCTAAGAGACCTCTCCAAGGGACCAGTTTGGGCACTTGGCAAGGACAGCAATCCGCTGCATTTTTAGAAAAACAATCCAAACCTACGAAACTTCCCCAATCAATACTTAAGAGGGCTTTGCAAAGCCCACAGTTGCTCTCTAAAATGTGTCAAAAAAGCTTAGGACAGCACTTCTGGGGCTTCAACACCCACATTTTGCCACCTACTTCCATCTTTGAGCACTTGCTGTTAATGGAAGCTGAAGGTCCTTGACACTGAGAAATCGAAGCAGGAACATGCAGTGGCATCAACATAATTTAAGCACCACTATTTTAATATTTTGAGGTTTTTTCCTTATTTATCATTGGGAAAAGTAGATCTGGTAGAGTGGCTTGATTTTTCACCCTCTCTGCAATTCTGGATAAGTTTGAAACCTGCCTGAGACGGTGCTTTAGAGGATGGGGAGCAGCATCAGGAGGTTGGGCACAGTTATGAGTGTTCACCATGACCTGATCCTGCCTGCACCAATCCAAAGGACATTCAGCAGAGGAAAGACTGGAACTTTAAAACAAAGGCCAAAAAAAACAGGGCGTAAAAGCAAACAAAGCCACACTCATTATTATTATTTTAAATATGTGAATTTTATATATATGACCTTATGCGTTATAACAGAGAAATTAACTGGTTTTTAATAATATACATATATTTGTAAGTTTAATTTCTCATACTTTTGGACTGGTCATCCACTACCTGCAGCATATTTGATGGGACTGGCACTGGGGTCTCTCCTCTTCCCAGTGCACTTGGGAAGAGGAGCAGCTGGGAATACATCAGACATAAGACATCAAAACATTTGGGAAAGGTAAATCACATCTCCAGCTATCTCATGGAGTGTTTAAACTTGTATAAATCAGGTATTTTAGAAATTAGGAGGTTCTCATGAGAGCCTAGGAAGCTAATAGTGTCACAAGGGATCACAAATCAGTTGTTTAGTGGGGGAAAAACAAAGTGAAAAGCTGTATTAAGGTTTAGCTCCTCTATTTGCAAGAAGGAGAATCTGAAAATGTTCGGCTTCCACAAGAAAATCTGGCATGTGCAGTGTTCTGTTGAACAAGGTGTTACCCAGCAAGTCAGAACATTCCTGCAGCCTCACTGACCCCCCTCATCTCCAAACAGATACACAGCAGGGTTTTTTTTCTCCTCTCTCCTAAATTTAAAGAGCTTTGAGCATAAGGAACATCTCCAGGCTGGGATATGGGATGCTGAAAAGCATTTGTTAGTAATTCAGCTCAAACATAATTGCCATTACCCACAGTTGGTTACAACCTCTGCTCCCTCTGATCCTCAAAACCTCCCATCCCTGGAAGTGTCCAAGGCCAGGTTGGATGGGGCTTGGAGCAACCTGGATGGTTGAAGGTGTCCCTGCCCATGGCAGGGGGTTGGACAAGATGATCTTGAAGGTCCCATCCCAAACCCAGGCCATTCCATGATTCCATGACGCTAAACTTGAAGCCGCTATTGCACAGCTTGCAGACCCAGTATGGCATCATCCAAATCTTCCCCAAACCACCCAAGAGCTTCTTCTCCTCTAAGACACCTCAAAACTGGGGAACACACGAGCTGGACAGGCACCAACATCACACCAGGACTGTGCTCTTAGTCAAGGGATGTCACATGCTGGTAAATCATTGAATCTCAGAAGGGTTTGGGTTGGAAGGGACCTTCAAGGTCATCAAGTTCCACCCCCTTTCACTAGACCTTTCTCCATCTTTCACTAGCCCAGGTTGCTCCAAGCCCCATCCAACCTGGTCTTGAACACTTCCAGGGATGGGGCAGCCACAAATTCTCTGGGCAACCTGTGCCAGGGCCTCCCCACCCTCACAGGGAAAAATTTCTTCCTAATTTCCAACCTAAACTACCCTCCTTCAGTTTAAAGCCATTCCCCCTTGTCCTACCACCCATAAATATGGGAATTTCGGGGGGGAGGGAAAGAAAGATTAAGGAAAAAAGCATTCCTGGCTGCATCCGCCTTCATCCCAGGGCTCCTGAGCGATCTGCTCATATGGGATTTTTCACAAAGCAGCCATTAATGGTAGGTTGGGGAGTTCCCTCAGACCATATTTGTGTCTCTGATATCTCACACAGCAGAGAAATGGGTTAAACCAAAAATTTGGGTTGTAACTCCTCCAAATCTGCCTGTTTTTTTCCCACACGTAGAAAAATAAAGGAGGCACCTCCCTCCTCCACGCAGAAGCATCACAAGAAGATTCATTGTAAATGGGGAAAAAAAAAAAAAAGCAACAAGTCTCAGCAATGAGCGTGATCAAAGTCTCTCATGGAAGAAGAAAATGTTTTATTTTGCAGAAATAAGGACTATGGCAACAGCTCTGGGATAAAATCCTACAGCACGTCTGTCTCCTGCACTCCTTTACTCCATGCACCAGCTGATGGAGGAATCCTACAAGGGGAAAAAAAAAAAATACATGGCCAAGTTATTCAAGACTAGAATCACAATAAATGTGCACAGCAATGGGGAAGGAGGACAAATGAAGTCCTCAATAACCTCAAAAAAAAATTCGTATTTTTCCAACCCCTTGCTTTGCAGGGGGAGAAGAACAAAACAAACGCTACACAATGAAGAGCATAAAACGTTTTAGAGTTATTTCCTGCTTTTATTTAGGGAAGAGATGACAGAGAGAGGGAAGAAATCACCACCTAACCCAGTACAAGCATTTATTTAAAAAAAAAAAAAAAAAAAGGTAAATTTGCTAAAAGAATCTAACTATAGGTATTGCAGCCTGGTTTGACTTCATTCAAGGAGAAGCTGGAAAATATTTTCCGGATTTTGCTTGGAGCATCCCAGCAGATGAGCAGCCAACATACCCCAAGTGCCCTTGGGGGAGCTTTTCCCCACAGCTCCTCATCCCAAGAAAAAAAAACATTAAAAACCACCTGCTGATACACCAGTTCCTCGTATTTTTTGGTACCAACCTTCAGAATATATTTAAAAAAGCAGTGCAATCTTCACTTTTTTAATGGAGCTGCACATAAAATAGGTGTGGGGGGAAAAAAAAATCCATCCTGCCCCTTTTTTTTTTTTTTTAAGTTAAATGCTATTTTTTCCTCCATCAGAAACACTGCAAAGCAGGGACATGCCCAGGCACTGCAACAAAGAGATGGCACCTGCCTACTGAATTTCCTGACTAGTGACACCATGAAGAAAAAAGGGTTTTAAATAGAAACCTCCCTGCAAGTGTTAAATCAGATTAATTTAACTCTTTTGCATTATTTTAATCTTCCATGCCACCGTTTGCAAGGCAAGCAGAAAAAAAAAAAATAGGGAGGAGGATTCTTATCTCGCCCATATTCCTTTGGAAATAAAGTGTGTTATTAAAAGCCACAAATAACCCCTTTCTGACAGCAAAAGACACACACTTCCAGCTCCTTTGGAGAGGGAAAAGAGCACAAACTCTCTAGGAAGCTTTCTGGCCACTCAGCATCCAGTGATGGGCACGAGGTTCCCTCCCACCTCGCAAACCTTAACCCCAAAGCAAGTCTTTGGCCACAGGTTGGACCTGTCCGTGTCCAAAAGGCTGCTGCAAAATAAAATGGAGTTGGAAAGGCTGGTGATGCCACTGTAGGACAAGTTGCAGCATTCCCACACACACACACACCAAGAACAACCATGGAGGCACATCCCAGTACTTCAGTTGTGAGTTAAGCTCGTGTTTGAAGAGCTGGATGAAATTTAGACAGAATGGATGATGCTGTAGGCAAATGCACAGGCTCTAATGTCAGCAGTCATGGAATCAGAGAATGGTTTGGGTGGGAAGGGACCTTCTAGATCATCCAGTTCCAACTGCCTACCATGGGCACGGACACCTTCCACTAGCACAAGTTGCTCCAAGCCCCATCCAACCTGGCCTTGGACACTTCCAGGGATGGGGCAGCCACAGCTTCTCTGGGCAACCTGTGCCAGGGCCTCCCCACCCTCCCAGGGAAGAATTTCTTTCTAGTATTGAATCTAAACCTACTCTCTTTCACTTTGGAACCATTCCTCCTCACCCTGTCACTCCTGGCCATTGTCCAAAGTCCTTCCCCAGCTCTCTTGGAGCGCCTTTAGGTACCAGAAGGGGTTCTAAGGTCTACCTGGAGCCTTCTCTTGTCCACTCTGAACACCCCCAGCTCTCTAATCCAGAGCAGAGGTTCTCCAGTACTCTCATCATGTTTGTGGCCTCCTCTGGACTCGCTCCAACAGCTCCATGTCCCTCCTGTGCTGGGGACCCCAGAGCTGGATGCAGTGCTCCAGGTGGGGTCTCACCAGACCAGAGCAGGGGGGCAGAATCCTCTCCCTCTCCTGCTGCCCCCCCTGCTTTGGATGCGGCTCAGGACACAGGTGGTTTCTGGGCTGTGAGGGCACATTGTCAGTTCATCTCCAGCCTCTCATCCACCAGCACCACCACGTCCTTCTGGGCAGGGCTGCTCTCAATCTGTTCATCCCCCAGCCTGGATTGACACCACAGGTGGAAACACATGACCAACCATGTCCAGGGTGGAAGGACCCAGTCAGTGATCCATCCATCCATCCATCCATCCATCCATCCATCCATCCAGTCTCACAGGGATCAGACACAGACACACAAGTCCTTTCCAGAGCAGCCTTTGCCCTGATGACAACTCCAACCCTACACAAAACATGCCCAGAGGCTCCTCCTGCCCACCCAGAACCCTCTGGGATCATGGATTTCCATGGTCCCCTGCAGCACCAGCAACTCTCAGAAGGTCCATTGAAATCCACCAGCCCCCTCCGCTTCCCAGACCAGCTGAAGTGTGGGAAGGAGGATAACAAAGATGGGAAAAGTAAATTAAGTTG